GAAAACCCTGTGGAAAAATTCTCTTCTGTAATCCACAAGTTACAGAATCAAGAAATGACGTGATGGTAATGGGTTTGTTTACTCCCTCAGGCTAAGCCCTCTGAATGTTCTATCCAATGCTCACTGTATTCCAAGGTTTTCTCTTCTGGTTGGTGAGAACATGAAATACTCTCAGTGCCATGCGAACTCTAGCTTTTGACTTTTTTTCGGGTGGTTTTTCCCCTGTCCTCGGTTAGTGTCTTTACAAGCAAGCACAAATTATTACTCAGCTGAAGAGTTAAAGAAGACCCTCCGCAGACCTCCAAGGCTCTGTGGGTATACAGCTCTTTCCTCTTCTCTACTCTCCCTGCTAATCCTTCTCAAATTCACAACTCTGCCTTCTCACTCAGGGAGATCACTGGTCTTTACTTGGGACCCCATTTCTGCTTTGCAGCCTTGAAACTGACTCTGGCATAGGCTGAATAACTGAAGGGCTTACAATGTTTGTTGTGTTCCGTCTCTTGGGGCCCACGGTCCTTTCGCCTATTGTCTAATATCTGTTTCATATATAGTCTGTCAGGTTATTTATTTATTTCATGTGGGAAGGTAAATACCATCCCCTATTTGTTTCTTTTTCATTTAATGCTACAAATAACCCTAAAGAAAGAGCCTATGACTTCAAATCCTTAAGATCTAGTATAGAAAACATCCAATTCTCCTTACAGCAGAAAATTTCCAATAGAAACAATCCCATTTTTCTAACAGCAATGCTGATCAGAATAAATTTAATCTGGCAAGTGTTATGACTACCAGGCAGAGAAGTACATTTATTAAAAGAAGATTGGGATTTACCACTACAAATTATCTTATTTACCGCTACAAGTGGTAATAATATCACATGCCCCCTGTCCTCTGTAATGCTCTTAACATGGTGGGTCTGTCAGATACTGCAAGAGGAACATCATAGCTTATGTCTTTCTCATTTGCATAGACGCTGTTTCTAGTTTTTTACAACAACACAATATGATGTCTCAGAGACTTAAACTGACTGTAAGGAGACTTGCCAAATAGACGGCTTTAGACTGTAGAGTATTGTAACAACAAACAAATCGCTTTCCAAGGAACACTTTGATGCACAGAAAACAGCTCTAAATTATTTCTTCCAGAAAGAAAAGCCCCTGAATCCGGCATTTGGTATTCTTTTGTGCCAAATAGGAATGTTCTTTTGAAGCAAATCCTCTCTTTAACAGACAGAAATGGTTATGACACACATGAGAGAATATTTGTAGGCAAGCTGGAAGAGAAGGTCAGGGAAAGGCGATTGTCTTTGACAGCCAATTTCAAATGTCCTGGTGCACATCTGCTGTGAGCACATCAACTTAGTGGTCAGTGTAAGCTGGGCCCTCATATTATTAAGTAAAATGCAAATGGTTACAGTGAGTGCCAACAAAATGCCAGAAGCTCCAAAGTACTTATAGGTCTTCTTGTGTCTGATAGTTACCATTTCTACTCACAAATGGTTTATTTTCCAGAACTGGGGTGATGCTGTTGGATGCAGGGAAATGTCCTGAAACATAACTAGGTAGCGTATAAAGGTTGTCTTTGGGTCTCTGTACCTTCAGATTCCTTCTTTATCCCCTCTTTTCTCTCCTCTAGATCTTTAGCCATATCCCACCAAGAATATAAGGAACTCTGGTAGCTCAGTGGTTATGAGTTGGGCTGCTAATCTCAAGGTCAGCAGTTTGAAACTACCAGCAGTTCCACAGGAGAAAGATGAAGCTTTCTGCTCCTGTAAAGATTTATAGTCTCAGAAGCCTTACAGGGTCGTTATGAGTTGGAACCGACTCCAGAGCACAGAATTACCGCCACCACCAAGAATACTGGAGAAGAACACTGAAAGTACCACGAACTGCTAAAAGAACAATAAATCTGTGTTGGAAGAAGTACAGCCAGAATGCTCCTTAGAAGCAAGCATGGTGAGACTTTGTCTCTCACACTTCAGACATTTTATCAGGACAGACATCATGCTTGGTAAACTGGAGGGTGAGAGAAAAAGTGGAAGACTCCCAAAGAGATGGCTTGGCACAGAAGCAGCAGCAATGGGCTCAAGCGTAACAACTGTGAGGCAAGCGTGGGAGCTGGTAGTGTTTTGTGTTGTGCACAGGGTCACTATGAGTGGGAACCGACTCAATGGCACCTAACAACAACAATAACAACTAAACCCAGTCAGCTTCTGGGAAGCACCCCATGCTCTACCCAAGACCTACTCAAAGTGTGTAAGCATGTAGAAACTTTGATAACAATTGACAGAAAATTTTAAATCAGTTGAATATACCAATGAAAAACTAGGGTTTGTGTTTTACATTTTTATTTCATTTTTCTAAGTAAGGTATTCTTAGTGGATTTCATAAAAGTAACTGTCTATTATTAGGACTGATTGTGAAGGTTGGAAATGTAAAGGTAGACGTTTTGTAGCAAGGAGGGAAGTGATTAACTTTTCAGTCTAGGAGCGAAGGTCCCTGGGACCATCAAGGAAGAAGAGCGGAGAGCGGGACCCTACCCAGAGAAGCAGTGACACCAGAAATGGAGGCAGAGACGATGATGTGGAGAGATGGAGCAGCGGGGGACTTTAGACACAGAGAGGGAGAGGGGCTGTGTGCTGACAATCTGGGGGCAGGCTTATAGTGTATACCCTTTGTTTGGTTGATGATGCATGGAGGGGATTGTAACCATGGCAGTGAAATGATATACAATAGGATGAATGTAAAACTAATGTTCTCCCATGTAAACTATCACATATTTCACAATAAAACATTATAAAAAATAAAAGTAACTGTCTATAGTGAATTGAAAATTGTAAAAGAAAAAAAAAAAAAGGTCCTTTACCACAAGTTGTATTGAGCTCATTTGAGAAGCATACTTTATAGGTTTCCCTTTTCACATCATCAAAATAAAATCTACACCCAGGTGGAGACCTGGTTGGCCAGCAGTGTGGCAAGACCTGGGGACTCTTGGGCCCAGAGTCAGTGACATAGCCACAGAGGACTAGAGTGCAAAGTGAAGCATCCAGCTGTTAAGAAGAGAGGGCATATGCACAAGAACACCCACACTTGCAGATAATACCTACTTGACCTGGCTTCAATGACTGGATGATCAGAGCTTAACTAGAAGAAGAAAAAAGAGGGAAAAAAGAGTAATCTGATACAATTTGATGAACTTGACCTTCACCTATGGATACAGTAGCTCAAAAGAGGGAATAAACCTTTACAGCGAGGATCATTCCCACCCCCTCTACACAGGGTACACAGGGATGGGCAACTTGGACATTGGTTACCCAAAATAGGGGGGCTACAAAGGCAAGAAGTGACTTGCTTACAAGCTTTCAAGAAAGAGTTTAGATTCAGAGGGCACGGAGGAAGGTAGAATCTCCACTGAGTAGTATCCAATCTGTCTGGGCGGAGCTGATGAAATGAAATGCGGATAGGTCTCTTGTGATACAATAGTGAATAATTGTTATCAGTACTGATTGTGAGGTTGGAAATGCAAAAGTAGATGTTTTGTAGCAAAAAGAGGGGAGTGACTGGCTTTGCAGTCTAGGAGCAGAGGTCACTGGGACCGTCAAAAGAGAAGAGCGGAGAGTGAGTGATGCCTGAGATGGAGGCAGAGATGATGATGTGGAGAGATGGAGCAGCTGGGGATTCTAGACCCAGAGAGGGAGAGGGGCTGTGTGCTGATGACCGGGGGAGGGGAGGCAGGCTTGCAGGGTATACCCTTTCGTTGGTTGATGATGCATGTAGGGGATTGATTGTAACCATGGCAGCGAAACAATATACAATAAGATGAATGTAAGGCTAATGTTCTCTCATGTAAACTTATCACATAATTCACAATAAAACATTAAAAAAAAAAAGATTTCAAACTAAAAAAATAAAATACAATCTATAATGGAGCACATTGAGGTGTTAGACAAGAAAGGAGGACAGCTTGGAGATGGAGGTGGTCAGTTAGACCTAAGTAAGGAGACAGCCTGGACCTATGCAGCTGTAGGTTTTGCATTTACATCTGGTTTCTAGGACTGCTGTTGTGACTGTTTTGAAAGAAAGCAGTTTAATATGATCTCAGAGATTCCTGTTGTTTCAGTGGCACTGTGGGATAAAGCACTGAACTGCAAGGTTGGTCCGACCCACAAGTTCAGCAGTTCAAACTCACCAGCCACTCCTTGGAAACCCTATACAGGGCTGCTATGAGTCAGAACTGACTTGATGGCACTTAACAACAATCACAAGGTACCCCCTTGCCCAAACCTCTCCTATGGCTGCTGAATGCCCAAAGCAGCAGTTTTCAAGCCAGGATGAGCAGTATAATCTCAGCGCTGCTGTTCACAGCCTTTTCTACCTCCCCTCCAGCTGTTCACTGGACAACTTGTAGCTTCAGGCGCATGCAAGGTTCTTTCAGTCCTCCACACCTACTCTTTATACCTTCTTGGCTAACGGCTGCTCTTCCTTGAAGACTCCTTCAACATCATTCCCCTCGACAACCATCCTGTGATTCTCTTTCTTCTATTTTCCTATATTGTTGTTAAGTGCCATTGAGTAGCTTCCAACCCACAGCAACCCTGTATAGGATTTCCAAGGAATGGCTGGTGGGTTTTTGAATCGCCAACCTTTATTGAATGAGTTAATGAATGAATATATCTGTACAAGTAGAACCCAAATCAGGACTATGAATGCCTGTTAACTACATAAAGCCATTTTTTAAAAGGCTGGAAGTTCATTTCCAGCAAAATGACTTGAGATACTTTTTTATTACCTGCCAGTATTTTATTTACTCAATGAATAGTTTCTATTCAAAAAGTGAGCTACAGTTGAAATCACTATAAAATACAAGTAAAACTAAGAAGGTAGAAAGAAAGCCACTTCCCCTTTTTAGAGAAAGAAGTTCAATTTTCTTCTTGATGTCATGCCATTCTAGAAAGAGCCTCGCTCCCCGAAACACCCCCACCCAGCTGCGCGGTTACTCACTGGAGTTGAGGAGGATCATGGCCTTGACACAGAGATACTCTTTGTGTTGGAGTTTCAACTCACGAAACCTTGAAGTTGTTGCCAGGAGCATGTCAAAGATTTCCAAAATTCCTTCTACACATTTCCCCTCATCCCTACAAAAGATCATTTGGAGATTTAAGGAACATGTAGCTTCAGGCAACCACTGAAAACATTAAGGAGTATTTTCTTCTTAATCTCAAATTTCATCTTGTACATCTTTTACTATATAACAAGATGTTAACAAGACTATATAATGAGATTTAAGTGATATTAAGTCATTAGTATTATCTTTATATTAAAAAAAAAAAGACGGGGCACTTACTATAAATCCCTAAAGTAAACACTTGAATAAATACTATTTAGGCAAAAATGAATGTTAGAACTACATTACCAAATGCTTTCTTAAACAAATGCCATTTCTGTTGATTTTTAAAATATAAACTGTTTCAGCCAACCAGCCCCAAATATGACACGTATTATTAAAATGAGACCGTGGTGTGGCGCTGTGGGTTAATGCACTGGATTGCAAGGGTGTTTGAACTGCACCGCCAGCAGTTCAAGGTCGCCAGTCACTCCTGGGAAACCCTATACAGAACTGCTATGGATTAGAACTGATTTGACACACTTAACAACAACAAACAACAATGTTCCCATTAGGAGAAAACGTCTGGACTGTTAATGAGGAAGACTGAACATGGCAGAAGCAAATAACCCTTCATGTCTAGAGTTTGCCTCTCATTTCCTGATGGTCCTTTAGAAACTTGTGGAACCACTAAGAACAATTTAAATGCCATCAGAAAAAACACTATACCAAACAAAGAGATTTGAATCAGGAAAGAAAGGCAGAAATGGAGATATGGACAGTTTTTTAGTTGCTGAAGATTATTTTTAAGCAAACGTTTTAGACAGACTTTGAACCATACGAGGGGGCTTCAAAAAGTTTGTGGAGAAATTCCATTATCTTTTCATTCCATTGCTCCACAAAGGTTTTGAAGCATCCACATATAATCAGAACACCTCTACAAGAAAAAGACAAGTAACCCAATTAAAAAATGGGCACAGGACAAGAACAGATACTTCACCAAACAAGACATTTGGGCACCCAACAATTTATGAAGAAATGCTCATGATCATTAGCCACTGTTGTTGTTGTGTGCCGTCGAGTAGATTCCGACCCATAGCAACCCTATGTAGGGTTTCTAAGGAGCCACTAGTGAGCTTGAACTGCTGACCTTGCAGTTCAAATGGCTTTGCAGTCTGGCGCATTAATCCACAGCACCACACCAGGACTCCCATTAGCCATTTGCTGTTGTTGTCAAGTGCTGTTGAGTCGATTCCAACCAATAGCAACCCTTTAAGGGTTTCCAAGGAGCAGCTGGTGAGCCTGAACCACCAACCTTGCAGTTCAAACGGCTTTGCAGTCTGGCGCATTAACCCACAGTGCCACAGAGAGATGCAAACCAAAACAACAATGATGAGATCTCACACCAGTAATAACAGCAAAGTTCAAAAATGCAGAGGAAAATAAATGCTGGTGATGATGTGGAGACACTGGGACCCTCCTGCATTGCTGATGGGAATGCAAAATGCTACAAACCACTCTGGAAAACAGTATGGCACTTCCTCAGAAATTTGGAAATAGAAATACCATATGATCCAGCAATTCCTCTACTTAGTATATATCCACAAGAAATACAAGCCATAACACGAGTAGATCTATGCACACCAATGTTCATAGCAGCACTATTTACAATAGCAAAAAGATGAAGACAGCCTAAGCGCCCATCAATGGGAGAATGGATAAACAAACTATGGTACATACACACAATGGAATATTATGCTACCTTGAAGAATAACAAGGAAGCCACCACATAACATAAATGAATCCTGGGGACATTATGCAGAGTGAAATTAGTCAGTCTCAAAAGGACAAATATTGTTTTAAGACCATTATTATAAAAGCTTATAACAGATACCCATACTAAAATGAAAAAAAAAAAAAACCCAACACTTCTCTGTTGGTTACTAGTGGGTTTGGAATGGGGGGGTGTTGGTGAGGTAGAATGAGACAACGGTAGAGTACAGGGTAGGGGCAGACACATTATAGTTTGGGTGTTAGGGAGGGCAATACACAAGAAGGGAAATGGGGTGGAAGAACAAAGTAGATAGGGGAACACTGAGACAGGTTTGCATGGGCTAAAAATAGGACAGACGTAAATTGTGATGCATGCTCAACTTTGGAACAACAGGGCTCTGTGATATAGGGATCTAGGCATAGTTTGAAGAGGGCAAATAATACTAAGATGCTTGACTGACTTATGAATATTGGTTTCCCTTCCCTACTGTTGTAAAATGGACACTTAAGTTGGATAGAAAGGAATGTCATGAAACATGATTACAGAAAGCCTGTAAGCCTGTCTTCAGCCTATAAATTATTGGAATACCTAATAAGGGTTCTAGAACTTGCCCAGTGAAATAGACCTCTTGCAGAGCCTTTGTAGTGTATAGGACCTTAGGTGGAATCCTGAGCCCCATCCAGAACTTTCTGAGGTGGGACATTCCCACTAGAAAGGACGAGCAGACCAGCTTGGAACAGCTAGAGTGACAAAAGATATATCTTCAAAGAAAGATCATTAGGAAAAACCCAAAACAAAAATGTCAGTATGACTGGCTTCTACAAGAATAAGCAAGTTGTTCACTGGGAAGCCATCAAGACAAGCAATCAAGTTCCTTCAGGACAAACTCCCCTCTATGACTGAAACTCAAAGGGAACACACAAAGAGGCATGTAAGCTTGTTGACAATGACAATGGTCTACTGGTGAATGGAAGAGGGGGGGAAGGCAGCAATGAAGAAATAGGCTGAGTTCAACCATGGCCCATAGATTCTCATTGACTAGGAGATGAGAGAGAGAAGTGGAAGGGCTGGTTGGTCCAAAGTGTGGTGAGAACTGGGGACACCTGAGCCCATGGACAAGGACATAGCCAAAGAGGACTAGAGCTGAGAGTGAAGCATCCAGCTGATATGGAGTAAGAGGAGGCACAAAAACACCCAAAGTTGCAGGTAGTATTCATTTGACCTAGCCTCAAGAGCTTGATAATCAGAACAAAACAATTTTTGATAAAGGAAACATGGGTAAATTGCTACAATTTGATGAACTTGACCTACACTCATGGAGAGGTAGTAACTCTAAATACCAACAGAAAGGGAAGGAGTCTTCACATCAAGTATCAATGGTATACCCTCTGTACACACGCAGACAAGGATGGGCAAAGGGGCAATAAAGGCATGAAATGACTGGCTTACAAGGTTTCAAGTGGGAGTTTAATTTAAGACTGTGTGAGAGAAGAAAGAGTCCCCACTGAACAGTTTTCATCTTGTCTAGATGGGTCTGGTTAAAAGAGAAGGGGATAAGATTCTTATGATTTAATAGTGAGTAATAGTTATCATGACTAATTGCGACTGTCACAACTGTAAAGGTAGAAGTCTTGTAACAAAAACAGGGGAGTAGTTAATCTTACAGTCCAGAAATAGAGGACCCTAGGGCGATCGAGGGAGAAAAGCACAGGCAGAATGTGAGACCTTATCCAGAGAATCAGGGATACCAGAGATGGAGGCAGAGACGGAGACATGGAGAGAGGGAACAACTGAGGACTCTAGATTCATGGGAAGAGAGGGAATAAGAGCTCGCAGACTTGCAGAATGTGCCTTTTGGTGGTATAAATTATTATATATTTCTGAGTGTTTAAAAAAAAAAAAGCTTAAGTGACTAGAGAGAAATACTGTTAACTGATGGTACCATGGAGGGGATTATAATCATTGTAATGACACAAGGTGTATGATTTGTTGAATGTAAAACTGATGATCTGCCCTGTGAAATTTCACTCAATCCACAATAAAAACCTTAACAACAACAACAAAAAAGAATTATGAATAAGAAATTAGGATAAATTTTAATTAAAGATAGGAAAACACAACATTTTAATATTAAACTACATATAGATCAATCAGCCTATCGATGAACATTTGCTTTTGCATGCCAGTCACTTATAAATTATTGCTAAATAAAAATAAAGTTATAATCATATGTCAAATAAATATATCATTATTCAATAAGAGCCCTTTGTGCTAAGCCTCAAGTTCCCCACCCCCACTCATGAGTGGGCTTTGCCTTGGGGACACTATTCTGTACCTACAAAATATATCTTCTGGCAGCACACCTGTGCTTTCAGTCCACAGTTTACCTCTCTGCATGTAGCAGTGGGGTGGGGGACTTGAGGCTTAGCACAAGCAAAGGACTCAATAAATCTATACTGAACTGAAATGAATATTACCTGGGTCAATGGGGCAAATAAAAATTTAGAGTGTGGGGATTATGAAGAAAAGTCAATGAGACAATGAACTTGAGAGAGGGATAGTTTAGCTTTTCAGCTTGCCTTGCAACATAGTACTCCTAACTTCTGACATGGACAGAGTAAAGTAGGGTTGTTCTAAGACAAAAGAACAAAGTAGAAAGTTAGTTCATCTCCTCTTCTCTCCCCTTCCTGGTCTTTATTCCCTTGGAAGGCAGAAAACTGTTGCAGTTGGGAGTGTGGACTACAAAACCAGACCCCCAAGTCTAGCTCTACAACTTGCTGCCTTATAACTGTAGCAAGTTACTTAGTCTCTAATTTCATATCTAAAAGATAAGGATAATAATGGCATTTCCCCCAAAGGTTAAGTGACTGTTGAGAAGATTAAATGAGTGAAAATACAAGGGTAAGTCAAAGCAGTACTGCTACTAGAGCTCCAGTTTGGTTTATTCCAAACAAAACACAGACATTGTGAAAAATGTCTCTTTGATCAATGGATACTGCCAGACAAGCTCTCTCAGTAAAATATTTGTTGTAGTCTCATTAGGATGTTTACCAAAAAAAGAGAGACAGAGAGAGAATGATCGGAGAAAGAAGGACCTACTATCACCAAGATAGAAGAGCCGGGAGTGAGTGTATCCTTTGGGCCTGGAATCCCTAAACTGTGAAGCAAGTGGATTGAGGGAAAAATTGATGCTAAGACCTTGGAGGTCTCCAAGGAATGCTATGTCTACAGATTCTGAAAGGAGACAAAGACCTTTCCCCAGGTGCTGTGAATTCAGACAGCTAGCCTCCGGAACTATGAGAGAACCAATCTCGGTTTGTTAAAGCATCCACTTGGGGTATTTCTGTTAGAGCAGCACTAGAGCACTAAGACAGGTATTTTTCTATATTGGATCAGTATTGTCGAGATTCAGGGGAGAGACGGAGCAGGAAAAGGGCAGATTTAAAAATTAAAGATAATTTGTTGTTGTTGTTAAATGCCATCAAGTCGGTTCTGACTCATAGCAACCCTATGTAGGGTTCCTGAGGAGAGGCTGGTGAATTTGAATTGCTAACCTTGCGGTTCAAACCAACCTTGCGGACTCCTACAGATAAGTTGTTGTTGTTGTTGTTGTTACGTGCCATCGAGTCGGTTCCAACTCATAGCGATCCTGTATCCTTTCCAAGGATCAGCTGGTGGGTTTGAACTGCCGACATGTGCTTCACAGTATGGTTCTGATCCTACAGCACCACACCAGAAGTCCACAGATAAGTTGTTGTTGTTATTGTCGTGTGCTCAAGTTGGTTCCAATTCATAGTGACCTTGTATAGGGTTTCTGAGGAGCGCTTGGTGAGATTGAAGCACTGACCTTGCAGTTCAAACTGACCTTGAGGTCGAGTGCTTATCCTATGGTGCCATACCAGGACAGAGAAGTTGAAGTCAATTTATATATGGAAAGAACATGAAACCTGTCCTACTTCATAAATACACCAAAATTTTCTGATTGTTTCTTAAATATTTGCTATGTCTTTGCATTGCACTACATATGAAACACTCTTTCAAATTTATTAGTAAACTGGTTGTTGTTGTTTAGTGCCGAGTCAGTTCAGACTCACAAAGACCCTATTTCTAAGGAGCAAGCTGGTGGATTTGAAACACCAGCCTTGAAGTTGTAACC